ACACTGCATCCCTTTGGTTTTGCAGCGTGGTCTGGGTCCTGGATATTGGGTCTTGCTTGGGTCGTGGGACAAGTTGCCCGGGTCTCTCCCCTCCCCTCTCTCTCTCAATGGGGACTGGGATGATTGGGGTTTGTGGGATGGGATTGGGATTGGGATTGGGATACCTACCTCGCAGGAGATTGGCACACACCACCGCCGAAGCTTCGATGTACCTGCACTTGGTGTACTTCGTGGCGGGCGGCGTGGGTGTGGAGGTCGTTTGATGGGTCCTCACTGCTGCGCGGCAAGGTAGGTGAGGTCAATCCGGTCAACGTAATTGGAGGTTTCGGGTTCCTGTTTTGGAGAACGGTGCCTTGGGGTGGCTCGCAGTGAACTCAACGATTAGAAAATTAGGCCGGGTCTCTGCTATATTTTTTTTTCTGCCGTCGAGAGTTGGAGTACACTGGAATGAATCTAGTTGGTCCGGGCTGACGGAACGGCTTGGACGGTCTGAAGTCTCGTAGTGCCATCCATGGCTGTTACTGTTGGCCGGCGAAGTTGCTGTGCTGCCCGTTTCTCACCCCGCCATTTGCAGGGAAGTCGCGAACATGCTGAGAAGTTTCCGTACGCGGTTTCCATTGTTGACTGAGAGCACGCCGAGGGGAACTTTGAACCGGGAAACAGCCGCAACCTCCAATGCAGGAGGAGCTACTGCCTGCTTCCTCCTGAGATGCTCTTTCCTCCCAGTGTATACTTGATACCTTAGCTACCGTCCGGCCAATAAGCCAGGCCCCATCCTGTCCCTCTTGCCGTGCTGGCGCAAAGCAATGCAAATCGCAAGTGCTACGTGGTGGTGGTGGTGCCTGCACACCTGCCTTCTCCTCCAAGTCTCAAATCTCAATGTCTCGCCAAATTTTTTAGTTCTGTTGGGGATGGTCGCACACCACGCCCACTCCTCCAGCTCCACCCCTGACTTCATGCAGCCCGAGTGATCCGCAAGGGTGCCGCGTTGGAGAACGGCCGGCCTTGTACCGGTACGTTTGTTGGCGGCACGCAACGACTTGGCTGTCGTGAGGTAAGGTCGCCTCGACGGCTGGACGGGGCCGGGGCGGTGGCCGCCTTCTCCCTATTTTGGGGGCAACTAGACATCAACTACACACTGGACTAGGCCATCTTTTGCCCGGATCTTTCCCGCGTATCTCAACCCTTCAGCCCGTTCCTGGTCCATCCGCCATGCTTCACCCAGGCACTCGACCAATTACTCCAGGCCCAATGGACGCACCAATGCTCGGCCAAACGGCAGCTTCTTCGGCTCTTCAGAGCTGACCTTCACGAACCATCTGCCTCATCTCGATGTGCAGGCCGATAAGATGCCGAGATGCTATCCCGGATGCAGAAAACAGACGATAACGCCGCCTGTCCTGGTGTTTCGACTTGCGGGCCATGTCGGGTCTGCGCGACATCTCTACTCGCTTCCATCTGTCTCGATTCGCCTCTCGAGAAAACCGGCGTGCGCTTGCGGTCTGCGAACATCAGGTATGGCTGTCCCTTTTTCCTATCAGCGATCCATCACTGCCCTGTCGTACCTCAGGTACTGGACCCTCGATTGGTACTTGGAGGGGCAGGTCCCAGATATGCGGAATCCGTCCAACCAAAAGTACCGGCTACCTCATGGAGCCCCGTTATGTTCCCGCAGCTCCCTGGTTGTTGGTAGGCGGTCAAGGGTGCCAGCGTTGTAACGGGCTTTCTGCCGCCCTTCTCTCCCCACCGCTTCCACCCCACGCCTGGGGCTGATGCTGGGGTGGACGAGAAATGCGCGGGACCCTGAGAAAGGGAGGGAGACATGCTCGACACCGCCCGCCATCTCGAGGTACCGGTACCGCCATCCATTCAGTCACTGGCCTGTCTTGGCTTGCTGGGGCGGGAGCTATCGCTTGCCATGCCACGCGGACGCTTGTCGGGGAATGCAAGCCCCTCGATGGCCGACTTTTTTTTTTTTCTTGTCGAGGGGCAGCGGCAGGCACAGACATCGAAATGCGCACGAAGCAAGACATCAAGAGAGCCCAGTCTAGCCTCACAAGCCTCGACAGTTTGAGGGAACTGCATGAGCTGATGCAGGAGGAGGCTGGCATTCGAAGCATGTAAAATCTGCAATTTTATGTGGGCAAGGTGGCTAATGATCAATATTCGTCCAGAATGTGTTGGATGGCATCGAAGAAACTTGGAGGTGGCTAGAGACAGACGGCGATCCCGCTGCGACTCCTGCGCATCACAATCGTTTTGTTGGCTGATGAGGTGAGATCCGGTTTCCAGATTCCCTCGGACAATACCTTGCAAGCAATGGGGTCAACTAAAGGCGTTCATCAACCCTCCCACCAGCCCGCCATATTGCCTCTCGTTGCAGCCGGTCTCAATGTCCACTGAAGAACTGGAAGAACCCGTCGCCGTTAGCCCAAAGGTCAGCATTGGCCAGGCCAGATGACAATGTCAACATTCGCATACTTGATCAGCACGGACGGTCGAAAAGTCAGCTTGCCTCTCCCAGGACCCAGAGAGCTTCAAGGCTGTCGGCTGGAGCTGAGAGAGCCTCCCCCAAAAAGCTTGGGTCAAGTCACCTTGCCCTCGAGGTATCGCTACATCCCGTCTCGTTTGGCCCCTCATCAACTTTGGCGGGTTCCTGGAGCAGCGGCCACTTTTTTGCCCCTCCACTCCCTCCATTTCCCATCTTCCGCCCTTCAGAGTTTGCTGCAACCTGGACTTTTGGGGTCCCGTTGACGAGAGGCCTCGTCGATGCGGCTGTTGCTTTCCGGGTCCCCGTTTGTTGACGGGCCAAAGTGCTATCATGACACCACTTTCTCATAACCTGCCGCACCCGTATTGCTATATTGGGCGAGAGAACACGTATTCGGAATCAACCGCTATCACTAATCCGTGGCCGTGGATGACGCCAGTTACAGATTTCCGTCGAGGCGAGCCTTGTCCCATCAGCCTTCCCGCCAACCCGCCAAGCTTCCAACAAGTTCCCGAAGTCTGCTTGGTTGAGTGTCGCAACTGGGACCAAGCGGCCAACGGGAACGCGGCGATAAGGAGCCGGCTGATAGGAAGCCCGATCAGAGTTGAGGGTCGTCGGAACGGGTACATCGAGCTGGCTCTGGCCGAAAGCTACATTCCCAGTGTGTGCCCAGGGAGCTAGCTAGGGAAAACTCGAGCGGTAAGGCGAGGCTTGAAGGTCTAAGACACTGAGCCTCGCGCCGGTCTAACGCTTCCTACGTGCGCTACATCGGTATTGAGGGGCAGGTTCGCGCCACTAGGCCGAATCCAACATTCCGACAGCTCGGGAAAGGGACGCGAAGGAAAGTGGCAGTCACGAAGAGCTCAGACAAGACGCGCCACAGAGCTATCCGTTCAAGGTAGCTCAAGAACTGCAGGTGTCTCGCCCAGCCTCACGGCATGGAACTTATCTCGCGCAAAGGGGAGAGGTGGCACAGAAGAAAGCAAAGGGACGAGGCGCACGGAAGGAGGCCCTCGGCAACATTGTCGATAAGACAACTTAAAGATCATCCATCAATGCATGCAGCGGCATGATGGTGATAACGCGCCTGACAGCTCGAAGCTCCTCGCACAGATCCGGCATTGGCTCCGGTCTGTGTTGCTGACCAGACTGCGCGACATACAGCTTCATGCAATGGCGGCATCATCGCAACTCTACGGGAAATAGATGCACCACAATGATCACGACAGATGACCTCCCATCTCATCCCATTGCCGAGTATCCATTGGAAATGTCTTCTAATCTTGGCCGGAGTCACTGGTGTGCGGTGGTTGTTTTCCAGTTCATGTAGCGCCTCAACTTCCAAACGTCAACCTCGCAACAGTGACGACGTCCTCCCTGGCGTCCCAAAGGCCCCGCCGTCCCACCCTGCATTCCCCCAATGAAATGGTTTTGTGGAGAGGGCCCCCCTGATCGTCCCACGCTCGATTGGGTTAAGCGTCTGAATATGGTTGAGGAGCTCTCTGCAGGCGCTGCGGCACCAGACAATACCAACGCCAGCACCAGCAACAGCTTTCCCACCTGCATGGGGGGGCTGCCGCCGGGAAGTCCATCGCGAAGCATGGCAGGGGTTCCATTTTTCTTTTTTCCCTCCCTCCTTCTTCCCTCCCAAGAAAAAAAAAATCAGAGAGAAACAGAAACCACTAACAGCCAGTCGAATGTCTCGAGACTTGGCCCTTCTCGCTCTTCTCGCCCAATTGTGGGTACACGTACCTCATCATGTACCGATACATGCTCCTGGAGTAGTGGGGTGTCGGCAGGTAGCGGTACATCTCCGCCGACCTCACTTTTTCGTAGTCCAGTCCTTCCCGTCAGTGCCTGCCATTCGACGTCCACACCCTTTCCAGTCCAGTTCACCACCGCTTCCCTGAGCCGGTGGGGGCCCTTGCCTGGTTCAACAATCGTCTTTTTCCTGCTGGTCTGGTCCCAGCACGCAGAGGCCCAGCACATCCTCCACGGCCAATCCCAATCGCTCCCTTTCCAGTTGGTGGTGTCTCTTCAAATTCCCCCCTCCCCAAGAAAGTCAATCAAGTGCCAGTGACCCGATATCGACGGGCCAGAGCCACCTAGTTGACCTTGTCTTTCATTTTCAATCATATCCAGACTTCTTCCCTTCATCCGTGGCTCTTGCCAGTTCTGCATCTCCTCTCACTTTCTCCATCTCCCTCGCTCGCCTTCCGCCGGATTGATCCTCCCTCTCTCTGGCGCGGACTTAATCTCCCTTGAACAGCCCACACCGACTGTCCTGCCAAAAAAAAAGTTCGGCGAGCTTGTCCTGCTTCTCCTCTCATATACCCACGCAGGCAACAATCCAACAACTTCGTCTCCAAGGAATCCGACCTCCCACGGCTCCAACGAGACAATTTCCCGCAAAATACCGTCACTTCGTCGACGACAAGATACCCTCGGTTTCCCGGTTTTCCTCCCAACTCCGTGTAATTGAGCCACCAGCTCCTCCCAGCTGCCCAACATGCGTCCCGAAGTCGAGCAAGAGCTTGCCCACACGCTCCTTGTCGAGCTCCTTGCTTACCAGTTCGCCTCTCCCGTCAGGTGGATTGAGACCCAAGATGTTTTCCTCGCCGAGAAGACCGCCGAGAGGGTGGTCGAAATCGGTCCCGCTGACACCCTCGGTGTGATGGCCAAGCGCACCCTCGCCTCAAAGTACGAAGCTTACGATGCCGCCAAGTCCGTCCAGCGTCAGATCCTGTGCTACAACAAGGACGCAAAGGAGATTTACTACGAGGCCGACCCCATTGAGGAGGAACCCGAGCCGGCTGCGGCCTCTTCTAGCGCTGCCGCCGCTGCTCCCGCCGCCTCGGCTCCCGCTGCTGCTGCTGCCCCTGCCGCCGCCGCTCCTGCGCCTAGCGCTGGCCCGGCCGCTGCAGTTGCTGATGCGCCTGTCCAGGCCATCGACATTCTGCGATCTTTGATCGCTCAGAAGCTCAAGAAGCCCCTCGCTGAGGTGCCTTTGAGCAAGGCCATCAAGGACCTTGTTGGTGGTAAGTAGCTCAGCTCACCGCTAAACCTAACATTTGGCTAACTGCGTGATTCCAGGCAAGTCCACCCTCCAGAACGAAATTCTCGGTGACCTTGGCAAGGAATTCGGCTCGACCCCCGAGAAGCCTGAAGATACCCCTCTTGACGAGCTTGGTGCCTCGATGCAGGCCACGTTCGACGGCCAGCTCGGCAAGCAGTCCCAGGCTCTTATTGCCCGCCTGATCTCCTCTAAGATGCCTGGTGGCTTCAACATCACCGCTGCGAGAAAATACCTCGAGACGAGATGGGGATTGGGCTCTGGCAGACAGGATGGCACCCTGCTGCTGGCTATCACGATGGAGCCCGCTGCTCGTCTCGGTTCCGAGGCTGACGCCAAGGCTTTCCTCGACGATGTCACCAACAAGTACGCCACCAGCGCCGGCATCAGCCTGACCACTACTACCGCTGCTGGCCCCGCCGGCGGCTCTGGTGGTGGCATGATGATGGACCCCCGCTGCCATCGACGCCCTCACCAAGGACCAGCGTGCTCTGTTCAAGCAGCAGCTCGAGCTCCTCGCCAGATACCTCAAGCTGGATCTCCGTGCAGGTGACAAGGCCTACATCAACTCCCAGGAGTCTGAGAAGCTCCTCCAGGCCCAGCTGGACCTTTGGACTGCTGAGCACGGCGAGTTCTACGCCGCTGGTATTGCCCCCGTCTTCAGCTCCCTCAAGGCTCGTTCCTACGACTCTTCCTGGAACTGGGCGCGCCAGGATGCTCTCAACATGTACTTCGACATCATCTTCGGCCGCCTCAAGGCTGTTGACCGTGAGATTGTCAGCCAGTGCCTGCGCATCATGAACCGCGCCAACCCCACTCTTATTGAGTTCATGCAGTACCACATTGACAACTGCCCCGCCGAGCGTGGTGAGACCTACAAGCTCGCCAAGGAGCTCGGTGAGCAGCTCATTGAGAACTGCAAGGAGGTCCTCCACGCCAACCCCGTCTACAAGGACGTTGCCGTCCCCACTGGACCCCAGACCACTGTTGACGCCCGCGGCAACCTCAACTACCAGGAGGTCCCGCGCGCCAGCTGCCGCAAGCTGGAGCACTACGTCCAGCAGATGGCTGAGGGTGGCAAGATCTCCGAGTACGGCAACCGCACCAAGGTCCAGAACGATCTCCGCCGCATCTACAAGCTCATCAAGGAGCAGCACAAGGTTTCCAAGTCATCTCAGCTCGAGATCAAGAACCTCTACGGCGATGTCCTGCGGTCTTTGGCGATGAACGAGAACCAGATCATTCCCGATGAGAGCAGCCCCTCCAAGAAGGACAAGCCTGCTACCGGCCCCAAGGGCAAGGTTGAGACCATTCCTTTCTTGCACCTCAAGCGCAAGAGCCTTCACGGCTGGGACTACAGCAAGAAGCTCACCGGCCACTACCTCCAGTCCCTTGAGGAGGCTGCCAAGGACGGTGTCAGCTTCGCTGGCAAGCACGCTCTCATGACCGGTGCCGGAGCCGGCTCCATCGGTGCTGAGGTCCTCCAGGGTCTCATCAGCGGTGGTGCCAAGGTTGTCGTCACTACCTCCCGCTTCTCCCGTGAGGTCACCGAGTACTACCAGTCCATGTACACTCGCTTCGGTGCCCGTGGCTCCCAGCTTGTCGTTGTTCCCTTCAACCAAGGCTCCAAGCAGGACTGCGAGGCTCTCATTGAGTACATCTACGACACCAAGAACGGCCTTGGCTGGGATCTGGACTTCATTGTCCCCTTCGCTGCCATTCCCGAGAACGGTCGCCAGATCGACACCATTGACTCCCGCTCTGAGCTTGCTCACCGCATCATGTTGACCAACCTCCTCCGCATCCTCGGTAGCGTCAAGACCCAGAAGTCTGAGCGTGGCTACGAGACTCGCCCCGCCCAGGTTGTCCTTCCTCTTTCCCCCAACCACGGTACCTTCGGTAACGATGGTCTCTACTCCGAGTCTAAGCTTGCCCTGGAGACCCTGTTCAACAGATGGCACTCCGAGGACTGGGGCCACTACCTCACCATCTGCGGTGCCGTCATCGGCTGGACCCGTGGTACTGGTCTCATGAGCGCGAACAACGTCGTCGCTGAGGGTGTCGAAGCTTTCGGCGTCCGCACCTTCTCCCAGCAGGAGATGGCCTTCAACCTGCTCGGCCTCATGTCGCCTGCCATTGTCGACCTTTGCCAGAGCGAGCCCGTCTTCGCTGACCTGAACGGCGGTCTTCAGTTCATCCCTGACCTCAACCAGACCATGTCTAAGCTCCGCAAGGACATCATGGACACCAGCGAGGTCCGCCGCGCCGTTACCAAGGAGAACTCTATCGAGGACAAGGTCGTCAACGGCCCCAACTCCGAGGCTCTGTACAAGAAGAAGACTATCGAGCCCCGTGCCAACATCAAGTTCGACTTCCCCACCCTTCCCGACTGGGACGACGAGATCGCCCCTCTCAACGACCGCCTCAAGGGTATGGTCGACCTCGAGAAGGTTGTCGTCGTTACTGGTTTCGCTGAAGTCGGTCCTTGGGGTAACTCTCGCACCCGTTGGGAGATGGAGGCTCACGGCGAGTTCTCTCTTGAGGGATGCATTGAGATGGCCTGGATCATGGGCCTGATCAAGAACCACAACGGCCCCATCAAGGGCAAGCCTGCTCCTTACTCCGGCTGGGTTGACGCCAAGACTGGCGAGCCCGTCGACGACAAGGACATCAAGCAGAAGTACGAGAAGTTCATTCTGGAGCACTCTGGTATCCGTCTGATCGAGCCTGAGCTGTTCGGCGGCTACGACCCCAACCAGAAGGAGCTCCTCCACGAGGTTGTCATCGAGGAGGACCTCGAGCCCTTCGAGGCCTCCAAGGAGACCGCCGAGGAGTTCAAGCGCCAGCACGGTGACAAGGTTGAGATCTTTGAGATCCCCGAGTCCGGCGAGTACACTGTTCGCATGCGCAAGGGTGCCGCTCTCTGGATCCCCAAGGCACTCCGCTTCGACAGACTCGTTGCCGGCCAGATCCCCACTGGTTGGGACGCCAAGAGATACGGTATCCCCGAGGACATTGTCTCTCAGGTCGATCCCGTCACCCTCTTCGTCCTCGTCTCCGTTGCCGAGACTCTCCTGTCCGCCGGTATCACCGACCCGTACGAGTTCTACAAGTACGTCCACGTCTCCGAGGTCGGTAACTGCATCGGTTCCGGTATGGGTGGTGCTGGCGCTCTCCGCGGCATGCACAGAGACCGCTTCCTGGACAAGCCCGTCCAGAACGACATTCTCCAGGAGTCTTTCATCAACACCATGGCCGCCTGGGTTAACATGTTGTTGATCTCTTCCTCCGGTCCCATCAAGACCCCTGTCGGTGCTTGCGCCACTGCCGTCGAGTCCGTCGACATTGGTTACGAGACCATTATGGAGGGTAAGGCTCGCGTCGTATTCGTCGGTGGGTTCGATGACTTCGGTGAGGAGGGCTCTTACGAGTTCGCCAACATGAAGGCCACTAGCAACGCCGTCGACGAGCTTGCTCACGGCCGCACCCCGGCCGAGATGTCTCGTCCCACCACCACCACCCGTAACGGCTTCATGGAGTCCCAGGGTTGCGGTGTCCAGCTGCTCATGACTGCCAAGCTTGCCCTTGACATGGGCATGCCTATCCACGGTATCCTGGCTCTGACTACCACCGCCACCGACAAGATTGGCCGCTCCGTCCCTGCTCCTGGCCAGGGTGTCCTCACGACTGCCCGTGAGCACGCCGGCAAGTTCCCTTCGCCTCTGCTCGACATTAACTACCGCCGCCGCCAGATCACCCTTCGCAAGAAGCAGATCAAGCAGTGGCAGGAGTCTGAGCTCGAGTACCTCTACGACGAGGTTGAGGCTATGAAGGCCCAGGGCTCCGAGTTCAACGAGAAGGAGTACGCCCACAACCGTGCCGAGCACATCAAGAAGGAGGCCGACCGTCAAGAGAAGGAGGTCCTCCGCAGCCTGGGCAACAACTTCTGGAAGAACAACCCCGAGATCGCTCCTCTGCGCGGTGCCCTCGCCACCTGGGGTCTTACTATCGACGACCTTGCCGTCGCTTCCTTCCACGGAACCTCGACCAAGGCCAACGACAAGAACGAGTCTTCAGTCATCTGCCAGCAGCTCAAGCACCTTGGCCGCAAGAAGGGTAACGCCGTCATGGGTATCTTCCAGAAGTACCTCACCGGTCACCCCAAGGGTGCTGCTGGTGCATGGATGATGAACGGCTGCTTGCAGGTTCTCAACACTGGCTTGGTCCCGGGTAACCGCAACGCCGACAACGTCGACCCCGTCATGGAGCAGTTCGACATGATCGTTTACCCCAGCCACAGCATTCAGACCGACGGTATCAAGGCCTTCTCTGTCACCTCTTTCGGTTTCGGACAGAAGGGTGCCCAGGCTATCGGTGTTCACCCCAAGTACCTCTTCGCTACCCTTGACGAGAAGACGTACGACGAGTACTCCGCCAAGGTCCAGGCCCGTCAGAAGAAGGCCTACCGCTTCTTCCACAACGGCCTCATCAACAACACTCTGTTCGTCGCCAAGTCCAACGCCCCGTACACGGACGAGCAGCTCAGCAAGGTCTTGCTCAACCCCGACGCTCGCGTCACTGAGGACAAGAAGACCTCTACCATCTCTTACCCCTCCAACTTCATGAAGGCTTCTGAGAAGACCGTGTCACCCACGGCTTCCAAGGCCACTCAGGACATGATGGAGGCCCTGGCCAAGAAGGTGGCGTCCAAGAGCAGCAACGTCGGCGTTGACGTTGAGGACATCACTGCCATCAACATCGAGAACGAGACGTTCATCGAGCGCAACTTCACTGCGGGAGAGATCCAGTACTGCCAATCGGCACCCAGCCCCCAGAGCTCATTCGCCGGCCGGTGGAGTGCGAAGGAGGCCGTCTTCAAGTCTCTTGGTGTCTCCAGCAAGGGTGCCGGTGCGCCGTTGAAGGACATTGAGATTGCGAAGGACGAGTCGGGTGCCCCGGTTGTCAAGGTAAGCTAATCCCATATGATATGAATGATGCATCTGGCTAACATTGTCACAGCTTCACGGTGATGCCGCTGCTGCCGCCAAGAAGGTCGGTATGAAGGACATTAGCGTCTCCATTTCACACTCGGAGTCGCAAGCGATTGCTGTCGCCGTCGCAAACTTTTAAAAGGCGATAGACTGTATAGTGCATTTCGAGTTTTATGGGATATAGGCAGGCAAGAGATCTTGTCATGTTCGCTTCGATCGTGTTTTGAAATCATACAAGCCAGGGAGTAAAGATCGCGGGGACACTTTGGGAGGAGTGTCATCGCTATCATCATCGTCGGATGAATTGACGAGTAATGCACAAGAAGGGAACGGCGCAATGCGATAGACTGCTAGTTCCTCAATGCCACAATAGAATCTGTATCAAATCCACACAAAGTTCCGTTCAAACTAACAGGTGAACATCTCGACATTGCAATGTCACCCTTGCGTTGTCACGACACGGCGCGGGGCACTCGGCTCTCAAGCTTATCGTTATCTGCTCATGTCAGCGCCCACCTGTTCGGGCGAAGCGACGATCTGGATGGGTGCTATGCAACGTAATCCCGGTCTTAGCATGGGAGAAGTACGATCTGCCATTCCTGCGTCTGATGAAATGGGATGAACGGGGTGGAGGGGTTCGTATGCGGGGGACATGATTGGCGTGAGGTTGTAAGGGAGGGCAGGACAGGCTGGATCGGTGAACTCTGCTTCGGTTTTTTCATGGTCACGGGAAGACTATGTTATGCTGCGATTAGGCTTTTTTTGAACGCTGATATTCTTACGATGATGGGATTTACTGGTGACGACGGCCTTGGCTGTCTGTGTTCTTCGGTTGATCTGGGGACAGAGGACGTGATAAGGACGGTAGAGTTAGGTAATCAGGGGTAGGCGAGAGTCAGATGGAGGGGGTCAGGGGAGGGGCTGTGTCGTCACAGAACTGCAGGTTGCGTCGACTCTTGACGCCTTGGAGCCAGGTACCAGACAGACAGGGAGGAGCTTGGGCGTGCGCGCGTCGAGCCATTCAAGGGATGAGGTAATGTCTTGACGGGGAGGAGGGCGGCTGGGCTGGCGTTTTTTCGCACATGTTGTGTTTTGGCACGCGATCCTCGTGGTATTTTCGTTTCTTGGTGGTGTTTCTCGATGTTTCGTTTTTTTTTTTCTGGGCTTCTCTTGTGCTGGAGGATGGAGGTCGTCTCATGTTGCTGTGATGTGTTCATACCAGACTCGCCTGTCAGTGCCATGGAGGGGAGGGACGACGATGAGTGGGTGCCGGGTTGCGATATGCCATTGTTCAACCGAAGTGTTTAAAAATAGGGGCCATGCATACGAATCCATACATGAGTCGACGTGGATCGACGACGACGAACGAACAGACTTTTGCGCGCATTGAGGCTTCCTGGCAGGAGTGAAAGCCCCCTGGTTGGGAACGGTATTGTTGGTGAATTATCTGAAACTGGTCGAAAATTGGGCCAGCCAGCCAGCCAGCTGGTTCTTGCTTGCTAGTGGGAGGCTCGCGGCCGGTTGCCGGCTCTGTCCAATGAGGGTCCGGGTGCTGGGTGATCGACGGGGCCCCGGCGGAGTGGGGCCCTTCGTGTGCACTGCCGAGCGGTGCTGGCCAATCGACTGCGAGAAGAGGCATGTCTCTGCAGCTTGTTGAATTTAAAGTGCTTTATGCAGTGATGCATCCCTTTTTGTCTGGCCCTGTCGATCAACCGTCGTTCCCGGGGCTGCATGGATTTCTGGCTTTAGAGTGGTGAACTGTGGGGGGGAGCATGAGGCATGAGGTTGAGGGAAGGAAGGAAGGAGCAAAAAGGGGATATGCGTCTGGGCGGGTTGTTGCTTCTTTCTTTTTTTGTGGCGCAGACAAGGCGTTTGGATCTCTTATTTCTGGGGGTTGTTGTTTATGCAGGTCCCCGGGTAGCACGGACTAGGGGCGATGTGTGTTTGAAGGAGATGGTGAGGTATAAGGAACGGAGGTTCCCCAAGGGCGAGTTGCGCGCGCGCATGCTGTCGTCTAACTGACTTGTTGTCTCTTCATGTTGCCTGACCTCTTTTGAGTTGTGAGGGACGAGAACGATTTTAATACCTATTTGGACCTTACCACCAGAGCTATCTCGATCGATATCGACGACGACAGAAGAGACTCTCTTTTTAATAGCACACGACGAATTTAGACAGAAATAAGAATGGCCGGCGCAAACATTCGAGGCCTCATGGGCAAGGGCGTCCCGCCGACGCCCACCTTCTTCTCCATCCTACGCGTCGCCGTCATGGTGCTGTCGCTGGCTGTGCTCGCCGCCTGCGCTTACAACCTGTCGCTGCTGGGCGGGCAGGCGAGCTATGCCGGTCCGCCGGGCTTCATGCTCTTTGTGGTATGTTTTTTCGCCTTCTCAATCATTGCTGATTGTAGTTTGCGATTCCCTTTTCCTGTTTTTCCGCATGGCAATCGCGAACGACGCGAAGACAATTTGGCTGACCATGCATGACAGTCCCTCTTCACTCTCCTCATCCTGGGCGGCGCCATGGCCCTCGAGCGCTTCGCGCCGCAGTTCTACTTCCGCCTGGCGCTGCTGATCGCGTACGGCGTTAACGTGCTCTTCTGGCTTTCTGGGTGGGCGTGGTCGGCGAGCATCGCGTCGCTATTCCTGGGGAACACGTGTATTGGAAGCACGTGCTTTGGGCCCACGACGGAGGAGACGCGGTACGGGGCGAGTATGGCGGCGGCGGCGGGCGTTGGTGCTGTGAACTGGCAAGTCTTCATTCTCGCTCTCTTCCGGTTGAGGGCAATGCTAACGAGCGGCAGGGTCATGATGATTGTCGTCCTCTTCTACTTCGTCAAGGGATGTCTCGCGGACCCCGACTGCTACGGCATCTCGACGGGCCACGGCGCTGAGATGGGAAGCTTGAGTCTCAAGGCGGAGGGGAAGCAGCCTTCTCGGTCGTCGAACTCGGAGTAGACGATTGCCTTCCGAATGAAGGGAGATGGCTTTCAGCTGAAAGCATGACAATGGATCGCGATTGATGATTCGCGACTTGGGGACGCTGGAAACTGGGTAATGACTGGAGTTTTGAGGTTCAGAAAGGATCTGGTACAGGGATGCCCCTCGACTATGTAAAGGGCAGTCGTCAGAGTAAGGGTCAAGGAAAAAAGGCTCTCTGGGTGTTTGATGAATTTTGATAGTGATACCACTGGCTCTTATTAGCTAATAAGAAATGTTTGATTTCACATTATCGGAAGCACATGGCGAGCACAAACGAGGCTGGGTATAGGTCAACAAATTTTTTTTCCAAGGATTTTCACGGCACGGCCCAACGTCTACATCTTGGTCTGCCTTCAATCGCCGAGATAGTGTTGTATCGCGTGGGACGTGGGCAACTGCGGTACTAACAACCTTCGAATTGATAAATATGAAACCCTGATAAACCCAGCAAGCCCAGCAAGCCCAGCAAGCCCAGCAAGACTCCAAACTTTTCGTGACATCTACATGTAAATTAACAATCCTTGACCCTTTTTCGCAAACTGATTCAAACCATGTCAAAGCAGAGAAACCTAGGGTATCTCAAGAAGAAGCCACCGCCCGAAAAACCCAAGCGTCCTTGAAACAAGTGAGAAAGCCGCATGATCACTCTTCCATGTCCTTCGCCTTTCTCTTAACACCCTTCCCGTTCTTCTTGCGAGCAGCGGCCTTCCTCGATCTCGCCGCCGCATCCGCCACCTTGGCCTGCTTCGCCAACCGCTTCTCCTCCTCAGTCGCGTCGTTGCTGAAATCAAGCGCATCCCAGCGGTGGTCCGCCACCATCTCGCGCTTCACATTCTCGTCAAGCCCCTCCCAGTCGCCTACACCGGCGCCGAGCCCCACGGCCCGGGCCTTCCAGAACTCAGCCTCCGACTGCAGGGCGAAGATGGCCTCGGCGCGGTGCGTGACGGCGCGCAGCTTGCGGTCGCGGGAGCGGGTGGCGGCGGTGTTGTTGCGCTTCCGCTCGAAGTCGTTCTTGGCCTCGGCGATGGCGTCGTTGCGCGCCATGGCGGCGTCGCGCTCGGGGCCCTCGGGCATGGAGGCGGCGTCGAGCCAGGGCTCGAAGGCGGGCTTGGGCGAGACGGGCGCGATGAAGATCTTGGAGGGCCCGTGGCGGATCTTGTGCGTCGTGCGGAAGGGGTCGGGGTGGATGAGGCGCTTGATGGTGGGCGAGGGGGGTGGGAGGGGGTGCGGCTTGTGGGAGGAGAGGATGGCGAGCATGGCGGCCTCGCGGGCGGCGCGCTCGGCGGCGGGAACGGTGGAGGGGATGGGGAGAGCGGAGGCGAGCTTGGAGGCGAAGCCGCCGGGTACGATGTACGCGCCGTTGGTGTTGATGGATGAGAGGTTGGCTGTGAAAGGGAGCTCGGGAGTGGTCGAGCGGGTGATTGGGGTGAAGCCGTCGTGCTGCTCCGTGGTGGCCCAGTCAGTGGGATGCTGAGGGGGAGCGTCATGTTGAGGGCCATGGTCCTGGAGGGAAGCTTGGTGTTGGGGGGGAGCATTGTGCTCGAAGGTGGGAAGGGTGAGCTCCTGGTTGATCATCGAGGCGGGCAGTTGGTTGAACTGGTCCAAGACACTCGTGTCGCCATTGTTGTAAAAGGATGCGAAGTCAGAATATTCCATGGGAGGACTGGCTGGTGCTTGAGGGGGTCTGAAGTAGGTGTTGGCATCGTTGAACAGATGCGAGCCGTCGTCTTCATAGCTGTTAGGGAAGCCGTCGGCTTGAGGCTTGTCCCAGGCACTGGCACAGAGGCTTCGGAGCTCGTCAATCCCCATCATGCCATTTTCGAAGGCAAAGTGAGTCATTGTGACGACTTGCAAGGGGTGTTTGTCGGTGATGTTTGGGGAGATGTTGGATGTGAATCAGAGGGGCCGGCGATTTGAAGCAGAGAGAGATGAGTCGGATTGTTCGTGAATGTATCCGAGCCGTGAGTCGAGTGACTCCAAGGTATTTTTGAAGCGAGGAAAAATTGAAACTGATGGTGATGGCGAGCCGGGGCAGTGATCGTGCGGGAAGCGAAAGGATTCTCTTATACAACTAAATGACCCACGACCGAATCACCGCGTTTACCTTTGGAAGAAAATTTTGTTGAGGCACGAAAATCGGATCGAAGTCTGTTTTGGGAGGCAGCTGGGTCTGCTGAGGGAAAACGCGTCGCGTGGAGGCTAACACGTGAGGAGGGGGACTTGGGATGACGGGGCATCTGGTCGTCGAGTCGACCATGAGGACAACGAAAGGCAGAGGCATGCTGCTCAGTGAGCCCCGCGAGGACTTCCAAATGGGGATGGCGCCTTTGTGGGTGTTCTTCATGTGACTTTGTTGACAAGGGATCACTGATGCGGAACGTCGAGGAAACAAACGTGACTTGGTGAACGAAAGGAAGTATTAGAAATTGGGTGATTGAACCTCATGAGCGTCGAGCCATCGCCAAACAAGTAGTGGTTATGGACGTCGACCTCTTCGAAGCCCCTCTATGTATTTGAAGTTTCTTGTACTTTGAGATTCCCATAGACACAAATCGCTTCTAGTGCGTAGAACAGTTTTCTCATTTGACGGCTTACTTGCCTACATGCCACTATGTTCTGCCCGTCATCAAATCATCCGACAACACTTGACTCCTGTATAAGCACGAAGTCGATAGTAATGATGTGCCAACGACAATGACCAGAAAGCGGCAAACAGCTAGGCTTTTACGACTTTGCAGCCAACCGAAGTCATCCCAGCCCAGTGTCATAGCAGCGTTGTTTGGAAGAAATTGCGACAAGCTAAGAGGTCAAATTTGTGGGTTTTGGTAATCGGCCTTGATTGTTGCTAGCTTTTATACCTCCCTCACTGTTTGAACGATGATAAACTACGCCTCGAAACGTCAATTCTGTCCGAGCACCACTCCATATAAGAAGTGGTCGGACATATCACTACCTGGTCTTTCTCCGTATGAGCAGGAGAATGAGGCCAGCTGCAAAAACGCTAAACACTTTGCAGAGTCACTCGAGTGTCTCCCAAATCCACAACCATTGAGTCCTGATCGATACATCTGGAACGCAGCACAAACTTCTCTGTTTCTGTCTCTGGTTTATTCCCTCAAGAATAGCCTCTTTAACAAGGAATTTGGGATCTGTCTGAGCCTTGAAGCCTGTCGATATCAAGGTACGATACCGACCGGGTGCAAACTCCACGCACTAAGTAATTGATTTTGGAGACTTTTTGCATTGTTTGTCTATGAGGACATACGAAATTAAAAGAAAACAGTCATTTTGTGCATGCGTAGCATTGAGGGCGGGAACTCTTCGCATAAGATAGGCGATAAATTTGTGCTGATCTGCACGTTTTCACGAAATTCAGAAGCTCCGGAAAGGGGACTAAGCACACGCACTCGAAGAGTCAATTCTCACGAAAGCGGATTGTATTGCTCGTCGTTGATCGTCTTTAAATTTGGGACCCTACTTTAAGTATTCATTGGCAAATAATGCGACGCCAGCCAAAGGAGACCGTTGAGATCCTTCAGTTGATCTGCAATTGAAGTTTCCTCTTCAAAAGTGTGAATACTTTAGGAATGCGATACCTTTGCTTCCACCTCCTCAAACAATGATGAAATGGCGTGGATGTCTAAGCAGAATGATCGGAATCTCTCACGAAAAGAAACTTATCTATATTAAATTATATTCCTGTTCATAAGCCTCCGTTAGGTCTTACTAGCTGAGCAGTGTCCACCACCTACCCTGTAATCCGTATATCGTCTCTGTTGTCACTATATGTTGTCTTTATCTCTTCTTGCTATCAATCAACTTCGTTGAATATCGTCCTCTACTATCGTCGTCGTCGTCGTCGTTCGTAGGTATCGTTTCTCTACTACTTTCGTCTTTATCTAAGTACCAAGTGTACTGCGATTGGAATTATAGAGTACACTGTCCAGATAGCATTGCTCATTCTGTTACTCAAATAATGACGATAGAAGCTATTCCCACGGGCAAACGAACTCACGGTTACTCCCACCGGGTCTCGGCAGTGTGATATTTCAATGTTTCAACCTATAAAAGCATTTCTTCCGTGAGATTTCATAAGTTTAACGACACGAATGGCTCGAGCTTTGCGTGTGCTCAATGTGCAGATCTTGAATCGTGAAGCTAAGACCTAAATTTGGCAAGTTCACGTAGAGATGGCTCGCTGGCGTGATGAGAGTTTGATTTGAACTCACGTCATTGTCTTCCGGCTTTTATTACCAACAAACAATCACCACTCAGAAGTGCCGAGAGCTGAAGCTTGACGCAATGCTTACGGAGCAGCCGCAAAGGCGAGCCATCGATACATTGCGTCGATGAGTCTCACTGCTAAGTCCAACGAACTCAATGAAGCCTAACTGGGTGTAATGGTGCTGAAGAACCATCCTATGCTGCATTAATTCTCTTATATATTTACTGACAGGGTTCTTGCGCGTGCCCATGCTGGAGGCTGCAAATCCTCAAGGCTTAGAACGAACCATACGAGTGCAAGTCCGGGAGACCAACCAAATACAATGAAGCATGAATTCCTTGGTATTTTTGTCTGCAGGGCAATTATGTAGTCGATGTACCTACCCTGTTACGGTCAATGAAAAGCTAGGAACAAGTTTGCTGATTATGAGAGCTCGCTTGATGAGAGGAGCCTGCTCCGTATTTGACGGATGTTCACACACGGAACTCAGACTCCAGTCGTCTCGGTTGTGTTATTCCCCGCAATAATACTACACAGACAAAGATGACTGGGATTGACGAGAAGTTCCCCGCAAGATTGTCGTGGTCAAGTATCGCTGCATTTCTCCTGGAGTTTGCTGATACTGTTTTCCCAGCATAAACCCTTAGACTCAAGCTCAGCGAACAGGGCCTAGTGGAGGATCATTTTGCTGGTCAAGATGTAACTGTAGCCACGCATCACCACTAATTATACCACGACCCAAGATAGCGCG